TGTCTTTGCGAAAAAAAAATCCCAATTCATATAAATTAATTGGTTTACGCAAAAGGTATAGCATCTACAAATGGTGGTATATATACTGGAATGTTTTGAGGTTTTTTTTTATACTAGTAATGGCGGCAATAAGCGACATATAGCGGGACTGTGGTAGGCATTCTGACACTGAAGGGGAACTGACTAACTGCCACTGACAACCCCACTGACACTAATACAGTGATCAGTGCTAATAAAAAGCACTGACACTGTACTAATGACACTGGGCAGGAAGGGGTTAACATCTGGGGTGATCAAAAGGTTAACTGTGTGCTGTTTTACTATTTTGTCTGTGTGTGCTTTACTGTGTAAACACGCTGCTTTGTATTGCTCTGCTATGCAGAGCAATACAAAGCAGTGTGCTGGTGCTTACAAGTGAGAGATCTGTATTGTTTACATACAGACCTCTTCACTGTCTGTGTTGCTCAGCGATCACCGGGTGCCGGCAGGTAATCTCCAGCCGGAACACAGTGATCGACAGCTGTAGCTGCTCCCTACCCGGAAATACAAAATTGCATATATATATATATATATATATATATATATATATATATATATGTGATTTTGCGCAGTCCTGCCACTCTGTAGTAGTAATTCTGCTATAGGGCAGTCAGGAAGTGGTTTTTTGTTGTTTAAGATATAATTAGCGAATGTTTAAAACCATTGTGCGGTTTTCTGTCCAAAGCAGGGGAAATACCCTCTTTGGGCTCATGTACACTGCAGCTGCTAAACTCACATTTAGGAGCTGTTCAGCGTTTTTTTTCAGCAACCCCTGAGCTCACCCTAATGTTTTCCTATGTGCCTATGTATACCTTTTCGTTTACAGTGGTTTACAGGCAGTTGAGTTTATAGTCGTTTTTTTAAACGCAACAAACTTGAGTTCAGACGTCGATGTTATCAGCGTTTCAAACGCAAAATGCTTGTAAATGCGGCAAATCGCATTTATAAACGTTTGCGTATGAATTTGTTTTAAACTCTTCCAGTTCCCAATGCTGTCCAGAGCCTTTTTTTCGTCAGGAAAAATGCATGCAAAGAGTTTTCAAGGTGCTCAGATGGACAAAACACATAACACAGGATGTTCCTACCAAGCTTGTCACACATTATAATGACCAATTCACACCTAAGACCTCTCTCACCTTTGGAAACAAAAGATATGTTAATGACCATTCACACCTCAAATTCCTCATGCAGACCCCTGGACCCTAATGATTCACTCCAGCTGACACCTTCCCACCCTTAGAAACAAAATAAATGGTAATGAGCAACTCATACCTAGCTAATGTCAACACATACTGCTATGTCTGCTTTTACTGTGTGTAATTCTCTGAAACAGTCTGAAATAGTTAATAATTTACCACTTTTCAGTGCATTCTGGGCATTTGGGAGGTTCTCCTGTGCTTATCTTTAAAAAACGCTTCTAAACGCAAACGCACATAAACGTGTTGTGCAAACGCGGCTAAACAGACTTTTTTAACCTACGTTTTCCTGCAGTCAGTTTCCATTTTTCAGAAACATCCAGTGTACATGGGGCCTTAGACATCAGAACAGTTATCACTATTGAAAGATTTCCCTTTACTCCATGTCTGGTGAAAACTCTGGCTGAGAGGGGCTTAATTTTTGTGATTACACAGACAGATGTAAAACCTGACAGGGAATTAAACACTTATCTTTTGTATTAACAAAAGTTTTAGTTTTACTTTAAAATTGTTGAAACCACTTGACTAGTTTTTTCCAGCATGCAAGCATTTTGAGAAAAAAATGTAATTTAGTTCCAATTCATATAATTTTTACATTTTTCTTTCTGTTCACAAATCATTAGCTAAAATTACAGCAGAGAAAGCTGAAAAGGAGGAAAAAAAAAGTGCAGCAGCTCAGTGTTGGCATTTTGGCAGGTGTTTGCAATATATAACAGAACCTGTTATTTTGAAGTGCAAATGTATCTTAAACACAGGTTTCAACATTAGCTGGGATTCTTTTGTAACAGAAAATTCTATTGCGGTTTCTATTACTAAATGAATAGAAAATACAAAAAAAATGGAAAAAAATCAATTACTTTTTTCCACAGCATTTCACACATAAAACATTAAACTGCAGTAGTTTGTTGTTTTTCTTTTTATATGGATTTATTTCTTATATTCCATCTTTCATGCAAATAACGGCTAAAGGCCAGTGTTTATTTACAGAAAATAGATGTCATGCTGTGTATTCCTTTACGTGGAATTCGTGTAAAATACAGATAGGTAGTAGTTTGCAAGCAGTTGGGGTTTATGAGAGTCTGGTGATGAATCATAGAGGCAATGGTATTACTCAGATTCTTTATTTATAACATTCAGTTGACAAGTATATATTTGTTACATTTGTAGCTCTTATTTACCATAAATATTATAAAAAAAACATTTTTGGCATAATGTTTTCTCTAGCCAGTTTTTGCAGATTATAGCCATCTACCTGCCACCGTAAATATTATAAAAAAAACATTTTTGGCATAATGTTTTCTCTAGCTAGTTTTTGCAGATTATAGCCATCTACCTGCCATAGGAAATGGCAACTCGGCAACATCCCTGTGGTGGACCGTCCTAAAAATGTCACCTTGCTACTTCTCCCAGTGTCCTGCGCTCAGCATCAGTCTTTTCTTTCAACATCCACTTTCACCCCACAGTGGCATGATAACGTGGATACAGTACTGTACAGAATCTCAGAGACAGGGTTTTGTTAGGGAGCAGAAAGGAAATAGAATAAACTGTATAGGACTAGGCAGAAGTCATAAAGTTTGCATAAGGTCAAAAGCTTTTCCAAACATTGTGTTTGTTAATCATTTTTCCTAAAGGATAGCTAAAGGCAAAACTTATTTTTGTTTTGAATAGAGTGGAGAGGGATTAGAATGCTTGTCAGTTTTTATTGCTGTCTGTGCCCCTATTAAGGAGATTCACCCTCTCTATTTGTCCTGTTCACCATTATCATCGAAAGTGAACGTAAAAGAAAATCCCAAATTTTGGGTTGTCCCCAGAAAAGTAATAAAGGGGAAATCTGAGAAATGTTTGACTATGGGGACAGAAAGTGAAAGGAAATCTCCTCAATGGGAAACGAAAAGAGTCATATCCCTCCTGTGTTCTTTCCAAAATGAAGAAAAACATTTTGTCTATAGTCCTACTTTAAATACTTAAAAGAGAAGTATTTGGTTAGAGAAAAAGAAACAATCATACTTGCTTCGTTGGCTGCAGCTCCGATCCCAGCTGCAGCTGTCTCCCGTCACTTCTAAGACTGAGAACAGAGCGATCATACACCACTGATCACCTATCTCTCAGTCTTCAGCCTGCAGAGAACAGTGACTGTCAATCACCAGCCCTCTGCTTTGTCCATCCAGCGCTCCCTGGAGAACTATGCTGTTCTTGGGGTGGGAGCGGCTGGCTCAGACTTGTAACATCTCGCTGAGAGATCTGGGCAAGATCCTGATCATATGGTTGAGACCTTGAGCCCACTGTCGGCTATAAACGGGTCACAGGAATGCAGAACTAACTGCACTCCTGTGATCCATAGGAGAAGTATATCCAAAAAAGCTTTGGTTATACTTCTCCTTTATGGCTCCAGTCACACTTGCTGTTTCCAGGAACCGGTGACAAAGCGCACAGAAAAAATGCTGCAAACGTGTGCCGTGCTTGCGGTGCTATTAACTGTTAATGACACCCCAAGTGCAGGAGCAGGTGTATGTTTGCCATGCAGTTTTGTTGTGCAACAAATGCAACACAAATGTGCCAAAACACACAATGAAAAAAAGCTTTGGAGCTTCTTTGGGGCTTTTATCATGCATAGGACAGCCCATTAAAGCACGATGAGCAGAAACACTCGAAAATGCGAAAAATAATTTCGCCAACTGGACTGGAGCTGGGAAAAAACTGAACAATGCATGGCTAGCTTAAGAATCAATTCCTTTGTCCTGTAATGTATTACAAGATAAGAAATTTACAGGTATGACAAAATTCCTATTTTAGTCTTGTAAAATACTGAGAACTTGTCATTAACCTTTTCACTGGCAGAACTGTTTTTGTAGGGTTTTTTTTCACAGATTTAAAAACATAGTTTTAGGTCTTAAGATTACATAAAACCCCCAAAACATATATATATTTTCTGAAAGCAGACACCGTAGAGCAGTGGTGTCAAACCTATGGCACGCGCGCTGCAGTGCACACTCAGAGCCCTCTCTGTCGGCACACGAGCCAAGTCGCCCCAGCAGCCGAGCATCGGACAACAGTGCACATAGGGGCCATGCACATGCTTGGAAAGGAGTAGCGGCGCCAGGCAATAATTTTGCCAGCCGCCACAGGTGTATGTCAAAGCAATCTGGCAGCTACACAGCCAAACATCGCTTCCATCTGACAGTAGGATTTTGTAGTTGTCGAAAAGATGTCGGTACCCTTTGAAGGTTCATTGTTTTAGTAAGCTCCTTTCCAGTGGATCATAAAGAATCATATGAGGAACAGTTATAAATATGTAAACCGGTGAAATGCAGCCTTTTGTCCTGCATTTTTTTTGTTTATTTTTTATTAAGATGCTTCTGAAGGTAAGATGGTTATACTAAAAATGATTTTCTGTGAATTGGTGTTGGCTGTTGTGAAATCTAGGGTTGCAAAAGAGAGCGACACTGTTAACTACATAAATGTTCCATTAAAGCTCTTCTTATTAACCGCCTCCCGCCCACCATATAGTAATATGACGAACGCAAGGTGGTTCTCTCATTCTGGGAGGATGTCATATGACATCCTCCCATTCTAACCGCGCATGCGCAGCTCCTGGAGCACGCAGCGTGGTGATCGGCGGTGCGCTGTGTCCCTCGGACACAGCGGATCACCGATCCATGGAAAGAGCCGAAGATGTCGGCTTGGTCATGTGATCAGCTGTGTCCAATCAGTTGATCAGATGTAAACAGGGAAATGCCAGTTATCGGCATTTCTCTCCCCCACAAGCTGTCATGCTGACAACTCATGAGGAGAGGAGAGCTGGTAATCGGCATTCCTCGGAGAGGACATGTACACAGATCATCAGAGCACTGATGATCAGTGTGCCCTGATGATTTCTGTAGCCCCAGCAGCGCCACCTGTCAGTGACCATCAGTGCCAGCTCTCAGTGCTCATTCATGCCACCTATCAGTACCACATTTCAATGCCCATCAGTGCCACATATCAATGCCCATCCGAGCTGCCTTTCAGTGTCACCCATCAGTGCCAGCTATCAATGCCAGTCAGTGCCAACTGTCAGTGCTGCCAATCAGTGCCACCTATCAGTGCCAGTCAGTGCCGCCTATCATTGCCATATATGAGTGCTGCCTTTCAGTGCCCATCAGTGATGCCTGTCAATGCCCATCAGTGCCACCTACCAGTGCCACCTATCAGTGTCCATCAGTGCAGCCTATCAGTGCCCATCACTGCAGCCTCATTAGCGCACATCAGTGAAGGAGAAAAATCACTTATTTACAAAATTTTATAACAAAAACTAAGAAAAAACGTTTATATTTCAAAATTTTCTGTGGTTTTTGGTTTGTTTAAGAAAAAATAAAAAACCCAGAGGTGATTAAATACCACCAAAATAAAGCTCTATCTGTCACAAAAAATGATAAAAATGTCATATGGGTACAGTGTTGCATGACTGCGCAATTGTCATTCAAAGTGTGACAGTGCTGAAAGCTGGAAATTGGCCTGGGCAGGAAGGAGGTATAAGTGCGCTGTAGGCTAGTGGTTAAAAAAAAAAAAAAATTACAAGGAGTCCCTAAAACTTCCTGTGGATATATTTTCATGTATCTTCTTAGCTTTAAAATGTTAATGAAACTTATAGAAGCTAAAACAAATTGAATAATGACTATGACAAATTTTTTGTGTATTTTACAAGACATAATAGTTTTATCTCGAACAAACTATATTAGGTCCTTGGATTGAGTACTGCTCTACAAAAATCCCAAGGTTGAGACCCTCTTTATCTTTTTCCTTTCCTTTCCCTTCTCTCTCTGGAATTTATTGTCTGTTCTGCAGAATTACACTTGGGGAATAACTTTAGGCAGTTTTATTAATAATTTAAAAGTACTTGAATGTCCATAGCCTTAGTCAAAGTGTGTAACTGTGTGTACATTATAAAAACACACACACCAAAAAGTGAAGGCATCAAATATGCCATTAACTATTCATAATCTTATCACATAAAAACATCCAACACGTTTCTGGGCCACTGAACATCCCCCGGAACATTATTATTGTGTTTTGTAGCCCTGGTGAAGAGTGAGCTGTGTTGCCAGTGCAACATGTTGGATGCTTTTACAATTAAAATTTTTCTAAATCTAAACCCACAACAGTAAAATCAGTCTGTATATGCAGTAAAGCATGCTTGTTATACTCACTGTGGAACCTTAGGGGTTAATTATCTGCATTGTGTAAAAATGCTATTTGATCCTGACTTCTCCAATCCTCCCCTTCTTCCAGTGCCCCCCTCTTATCTCCTGATAAGACATATCATGTGGAGACACTCTGCACATGCTTGGTTCGGTGTGTTTTGCTAGAGAGGTTTCTTTTTTTTCTTGGGAGATTGCATGTGATCGGCACAGCACCGGTCAGCGCTGTCCAGAGGTCAGGGGTTCTGCATCCTCCTAGAACAGAAAGAAACCTCCTCCTACAAACTTTAACCAGTGCTTTGCTGAACACTGATAGAAGTCACAAGACTGCTCTAACTGCTGATGAGAAAAGGTATTTAGCAGTTTATATTTACTAAAATAATTGCATTTCCATGTAGTGTGTACTGTGGGAGACCAGATAGAGAGAATGCAGGGTCTTGGGTTTAGTAACAATTTAAATTTTAACTCCAGATATGCTTTTTACTGCATAGTTGTATTGGTCCAAAATGGACAATGTACAGTAGGTATGCATATTTCATTCCTGTGGTCGTTACTTGTTCTGCATGGCTTCCTTTACAGAACACCTTGGATTTTTTTTCTAATGAATGCAAGGTGTTTGCTGATTGGATGAGGTGGAGAGGTGGGATGGTGATGTCACACTCTCAATCAATATTTGCAATTTGATAAAAGCTAATGGGGAACCTTCAGTTAGGGTATCATGTAAATATCACGTCATGTGGATTAACACTTGTTCAGGGTCATTGGATTAAATACAGACTAGCAGAGTGAATTCTGCAGGGGCAGGTGATATGAATCATTCCATGACTAAGCATTTGGTTTGCTTTTCGTCACTGACCATTGCTATAATGGACTTTGCTTTCAAAAACATGTCCAATGAGCAGCAAGGTTTGAGTGCAGATTGCATTTATTCCAAACAGTCCCCTCTTATTTTAGTGAAAGAATCTGAATAAAATTACAGAACCTAGATATGTCATATAGCATATGCCTGCTGTTTATATGTACTGTGCATGCATAATAAGAGATTGTTTTAATAGCTGCTACAGTAGCGTTTAGGGGTTCAGTTACTTCAACTAAAATCAATTCACCTTTACATTCTGTTAAAGTGGATTGATGTGGAAAAGTACCATAAATTACTGTCAAATGACTTCAACTAGATGGTATTAGTAACAGTGGAATTTGAAGATTACATGTCTTCTTAGCCTTTACTTTTATCTTTAAAGTCTTTGTGAAATTGGTCATAAAGATTTTTCTTTCTTTCATTTTCACATGATGGTGAAGCTGCTAATCCCTGCATATAGCTTATTTTCACTAATCATCTGCAACCAGAATTCACACTTTTCCTGGAGAGGCACCTCAGACATCAGAAGCCATTTCTTGAAGCAGCTGTGTAACCTCAAGGTTATATCCGTTGAAATGATTGCCATGTCTAATCAGTCTTTCTGTCCACAGATAAAATAATTACCAATTACAAGTGGATGGTAATGATTGCATTGGGAATTTAATTTTGTCTCTAAAATGTTTAAAGAGGCAGCACTTTACGCTTCCCAAGTCTGAATTGTGCCTTTTTGTCATTAATGTGGGACCTTTCTCAAGGATGAACATGTCTTATTTATTATGATTTATATCTGTAACGTTATTCTAAGGAAACTGATTTTCTTGATGACATGTAAAACAATTACTTAACAATTTACCACTAAACTTTTATATGCGTATCACACGTGTGTGTGTGTGTGTGTGTGTATATATATATATATATATATATATATATATATACAGTTGTGTTCAAAATAATAGCAGTGTGTTGAAAAAAGTGAATAAAGCTCAAAATCCTTCTAATAGCTTTTATTTCCATACACACAAATGCATTGGGAACACTACACATTCTATTCCAAATCAAAACATGAAGAAAAATATATCAAATTTGTGTTGTTCCTCTAAAAAAATTGAAGAAAAGTGAATATTAGACTGTTCAAAAAAATAGCAGTGTTTGTATTCTTCTTTACAAACTCAAACATTCACTATATAAACTGAAAAATGTTTGAAGATTTTGCTTTCCTTTGAATCACTTAATTAATATCTAGTTGTATAAGCACTGTTTCTGAGAACTGCTGTACATCTGTGTTGCATGGAGTCAACCAACGTCTGGCACCTGTGAACAGGTATTTCAGCCCAGGATGATTGGACTACATTCCACAGTTCTTCTCTATTTCTTGGTTTTGCCTCAGAAACTGCATTTTTGATGTCACCCCACAAGTTTTTAATTGGATTAAGATACGGGGATTGGGCTGGCCACTTTATAACGTCAATTTTGTTGGTCTGGAACCAAGATTTTGCACGTTTACTGGTGTGTTTTTGTGGTCGTTGTCTTTTTGGAACACCCATTTCAAGGGCATTTCCTCTTCAGCATAAGGCAGGATGATCTCTTCAAGTATTCTGATGTATTCAAACTGATCCATGATCCCTGGTATGCGATAAATAGGCCCAACACCGTAGTATGAGAAACATCCCCATATCATGATGCTTGCGCAACCATGCTTCACTGTCCTCACAGTGTACTTTGGCTTGAATTCAGCGTTTGGGGGTTGTCTGACCAACTGTCTCCGGCCACAAAATGTTGCACCATTTCTCTTTAGGCCAGTCAATGTGCTCTTTGGCAAATTGTAACCTCTTCAGCACATGTCTTTTTTTTCAACAGTGGGACTTTGCGGGGGGCTTCTTGCAGATAGCTTGGCTTCACATAGGCGTCTTCTAATTGTAACAGTACTCACAGGTAACTTTAGACCTTCTTTGATCTTCCTGGAGCTGATTGTTGGCTGAGTCCTTGCCATTTTGGCTTTTCTTCTATCCGTTCGAATGGTAGTTTTTCGCTTTCTTCCACGTCTTTCAGGTTCTGGTTGCCAAAGCATTTGCGATAATTTTTGCTGAGCAGCCTACCATTTTCTGCACTTCTTTATTTGTTTTCCCCTCTCCAATCAACTTTTTAATCAAGGTACGCTGTTCTTCTGAACAATGTCTGGAACGACCCATTTTCCTCAGAATTTCAGAGAGAAATGCACTGTAACCAGCATGTACAACATTTGCTGCCTTCCTTCCTTAGATAAAGGCAATAATTGCCACCTGTTTTTCAAAGAATGAATGACCTCACTAATAGAACTCCACACTGCTATCATTTCAACATGCCCCTTTCAATTAGTGATTCAATTACACAGAATTAGCAGCATGCATGTCATGACTGTTGGGTCTGTTGGATTTCTATTACTCTACTACACCTGCTAGTAAATTATTTGCCATGTAGAAATATAATTTCTACCAAAAACAGTGATTGATCAGGTAAGTGATGTCTGACTGCTATTATTTTGAACACAACTGTATATGTATATATATATATATATATATATATATATATATATATATATATAAATAAATGATCCCTGCGCTGGAAAAAGATTCTCGCTTTTATACCCACAGCCGCTGGCGGAACAACATTCCCAAGTGTTTCTGAATCAAACTAAAATATACAGTATATGGCAGCACCATATCATTATCTACATGATGCTACAATTCTGTAGTACACAAATGGTCGTAAGAATTGCAGTGATTATGGTGCATTGATACTTCACTCATATAAGACAGTGACTATAGCGCAATAATACCAATCAGTGAAAGACAATGCACAAAAGTTCACTAGCTACCCATACATCCTTGGTTTTAAGTGGTAATATCGGGATCATGACTGCAGCTGCAGCCATGAACCTGGTATAAATTTTTTTAGATCCAGCAATGCACTTTTTATGTAAAAATGATCTGAATGGCTATACAGCCACCTGAACCATATTATAGGATGTGGAAGGGGGCCCCCCTCCCCACTGATTAGTATTATTGCACTATAGTCATTGTCTTTCATGTCTTTCATGACTGGGAGGTTTCATTGAAACATTTTTACTGCAATGTTATGCTAGTTTATGTAGG